GCCTCATAAACTGTTTACATGATTGGCTTGGAACAGACTGCTTGTCACCTCTGTCTCAACCTCTTTTCATAGAAAATATCCAGGACCAAACACACCTCTTAAAGCTATTGTATCATCACAGCTCAGTGGCAGCACCATTTCCTCAAACTAATGTGTACAAGCTTTACTCCAGGAATTGATCACATTTTCAACATTGATGCTTCAGTGCAATATCGACCTGTGTGCTGCATTGTTGGAAGGTTTCCAATGACAGGTTAATCTGAGGGCCAACAGGCTCTCTCAAATGTCTATAAAACATTCGACTGGGCTAGATTTCAGGTCGAGGTGGTGTCTCTGAACCCCAGGCTTAAAAGTCAGGATCTCTGGCTCAGGGCAAGGGAGGAGGGGGTAAATTAAACCCTAGATAACTATTTAAAGAGCAGGAACTTTCATTATCAAGAGGTTGAGACTCTGGGTCTGTGATTGATTGAGTCTGGAAGGATAATTGGGGGATTTCATTGAAACTTACAGAATACTGCAAGGCCTGGAGTGGACACAGAATCCCGACAGTGAAGAAACAGGCCCTTTGGCCCAACAAGTCCACACTGACCCTCAGAGCACCCACCCAAACCCATCCCCCTATAACCCTGAACACTATGGGAAATTTAGTATGACCAATCCACCCAGACTGCACATCTTTGGACTGTGGAAGGAAACCAGAGCACCTGGAGGAAACCCACGCAGACACAGGGCGAACGTGCAAACTCCACACAGACAGTGGCCCGACGGTGGAATTGAACCTGGATCCCTGGTGCTGTGAGGCAGCAGTGCTAACCACTGAGCCACTGTGCCGTCCAAAATGGAGAAGATGCTTCAACTAGTTGGAACTTGACTTGAGGATAAGCCTCAGAATGAAGAGCTGACCCTTTAGAACTGAGATGAGGAGGAATTTATTCAGCCAGAGGGTGGCCACTCTGTGGAACACATTGCTGCAGAAGACTGTGGAGGCCAAGTCAATGATTGTATTTAAGACAGAGAAAGATAGATAGGTTCTTGATTAGCAAGGGAATCAAGGATTACAGGGAGAAGGCAGGCGAATGGGGTTGACAAACATAGCCACAATTGAATGGCAGAGCAGATGTGATGGGCAGAATAGCCTAATTCTGCTCTTATGTCTTATGGTCTTACATGATGGTGCCCAGCCTGACATTTATTCTCCACCAAAACTGATTAGCTGTCCGCAACTCACTGCTGTTCATGGGATCTTGCTTTACACAAGATGGTTGCAGTATTCACCAGAAGAGCATTAGTTACTTTGTTTCACAAGTCGCCTTCTGACTGAGCATCCAATAGACCCCATGTAAATACACACTTCTTCTTCTTTATACAGAAAGAGATGTCCTGAAGTATCCAAATGTTAATTACTTCAAATTAAAACTAAAAGGCTAAAAAAAACGAGTAGTGGAAAGCACCAAGAGTTCTGGTGTCAATGTGTTGCTGCTGTTGTTGACAAGGAGGGTGTAGAATTCAACACATGGAGCCCATAGAGGGGTTCCTCTTCCAATCATGGAGGCTCATTGAAAAGCAAGCCTTTTAATATCAACCAGAATATTTGATTCCCCGCCTTCTCCAAGATATATTGGACATCACTGAGTAAGAGGTTTCAAACTACATCACATAGCACTAACTACTTATTGAAATTCTTGGTTTGATTGACATACTAGGCCTCTGGGAAGAGAGAATTTTAAATACCGAAGCCACCGAGACCATGGAACGTATTCTCTTTATGGCTAGCATTGCAAAGACAACCGAGCTGAATCTTTGACAAATGACAGGAGAGGATGATTATTTTGCAGCTATTGAAGGCACTTTGAAATAGTACAGTAGCCAATGAGACCTAACCAAACGTCAAGTGATTTCCTCAGAACAACTCCTGCTCTGTTTTTGGAACCTATTCAGATGTGTGGTGTATTCTCTGCACTGCGATGGATTTCGGCAGCGAAGATGAAACAGCTCTGAGGAAATTCCTGGGATGTGGTATTCCCACCATTAACAACCCTCCTTGCTTTGCTTTCAGAAAAACCTGAGAGATAGAAGACCCTTCTATTTTGTGCATCTTAAAACTGTCAGAGCTTTTGATTAATACGACTTGAGGCCATAGGACCATAAGACATAGGTGCACAAATAGGCCATTCAGCCCATTAAGTCTGCTCCACCATTCAATGATATTGTGGTTGACCTGATAATTCTCAACTCCACTTTCTTGCCTTTTCCCCATAACTCTTGATTCCCTTAATAATTAGAAATCTATCTGTCTCTGCCTGAACAGACTTGACACCCCTCCATTGTAAAGAATTCCATAGATTCATTACTCTCTGAATGAAACAAATCATCCTCATCTCTCTCTCAACTGGGCAATTTCTTACTCTGAGATTACGCACTCTCATCCTCAAACTGATTTGATTTGATTTATTATTGTCACATGCACCGAGATACAGTAAAAAGTATTGTTTTGCATGCTATCCATACAAAACATACCTTACGTAAGCGCATCGGGGTAACAGAACAGCATGCAGAATGCAGACTCTCCCACAAGGGGAAACAACCTCTTATCATCCACCTGGTCAAGTTCCCCAAAGAATCTTGCATGTTTAAATAAGTTTTCCTTTCATTCTTCTAAATTCCAGGAAGTACAGACCCATTCGACTAACCTCTCCTCATAACAGACATGGAATCAGCCTAGTGAACCTTCTTTGGACTGCATCCAAAACCAGTATAGCTTTCCTTCGATAAGGAGATCAGGATTCATTTCTTTTGCTTAAATTACAACATCGGTCTCTAACCTCTGAGCAGTGCTGCTGGGATTAGTGAAAACAAATGACCAAGAATAGTGCTCAGTGTTTGGGAGTGAAAGGATTGTGGAGAGAATGTATATCTCTTAGGAAGGATGAGAATTCGATAGCTTCTAATGAACTGCAGTCAGCTGGTAAACGTATTCATCAAGGGAACATGGTATCTGCCTCACTTTGGGGCTTTCTTGTCTCCCATTTCAAAATTTGAGAATAATAATAATTTATTCCATATCGCTACAAACACCGTCAGAGGTTAAATGGTACTCAAAGCAGCAAGTATCAGTGTGAAATCAAAGCCTTCATTAGGTGTAAATAATCCGACAATATATTTTGAAGCAGAGGACATGAGATATCCACCAAGTCCTAGTCAAAATTCAACTCTCAGCCAAAGGCATCAAAGGGGATTGAATTGATTACCTATCTCAGAATTGATTATGGGATCTAGCTTCCATATTTGTCCATGCAACTGTATTACATAATTCTTTTCTCTAATGTTAAATAAATTGTGTTCTTTGCATGATTCTTTAACATACTTTTCCACATAAATCTGTCCGATCAAAGCCAGTCCCTCAAACATCAGTCAAATTACACGGTCGTAACTTTTTTATTCACTGATGAGATGTGGGTATCACTGGTCAGGCCAGCATTTATTGCCCATCCCTAACTGCCTAATGAGCAGTTAAGAGTCAACCACATTTCTGTGGGTCTGAAGTCACATGTTGGCCAGACCAGGCAAAGTCAGGAAGCTTCCTTCCTGAAAGGACATTAATGACTGAGACGGGTTGTTTTTCTTTAAACAATGGTTACAGGGTTGCCTTTAGGCCACGCTTTAAATCTAGATTTTTACTGAAATTAAATTCCACTATCTGCCATTGTCAGATTTGAACCTATATCTCCAAAACATTAGCACAGATTACTAGCCCAGGGACATTACCACGAATCACCTTACAGAATATGTCTTTCCACTGGACTGCAGGGTAGTGCTTGCAATGAAACAAAATTATTTCCCTATTTCACAAACTCACAGATTTTGATTTCACGCTCGGGGGTGGCACACTGTCAGCTTTAGTAATCTGTTTCTGGGGATACTTTCCTTTTTAATAACATCCTGTAACAGAACTAAATCTGGGATCTGTGTCCTGAGACATTGCACTCTGGTTCCAATAACCAACTGGAATTGAATGTGACTTCCCAGTGGTGGGGTGGGGAAATATGAGACTAGAATACAATGTTCCTCTGTTCTGACTAATTCCAGAACTGCAATCTACTTTTCTCCGTTTCCTCAGCCAAGTGGCCATTCTGCATATGTTGAAATTGGACAGTAAGTGATAGGAAGACGTGAATCTGCGCGAATCATTACTTAAGGGTGACTTGCTCTTTGCTAGATGTTTGCACATTTGCACTATCCAACATATGCAACTGCTCAGCAATCTGAGCCTTGTTTTGCTGAGCCCTAGTATGAGGCAGAGAGAACAACTGTTGATAACTTACTGCAAGAATTATAAAGGCAATACTGTATTATTGACATGAAATGCACATCGCTAAATCTTGTACACATGTCTAGAATTACAAATGCAAGAACATATCCATCATTTCCACTACAAATGGTACTTTTCTTTAAAAATGTACAGCAATGACAATAATAAATATGTTTTGATATGTCCATAACTTATTCATTTTGTATCCACTTTGGGATTTACACAACAGTTTTGAGTTTTTTTGATGTAAAATTCCAATCTTTTCTGATCGAGAGGGAGATAGACTGAAAACCTGGTTTATTCCAGGATCTAACAATAAAATACACAGATGGGACTCTTTTTGTTTCTAAGCACTTGGTAACTTTTTCTTCCTTTATCAATCTGAGCTGATGTACGGCCATCAACTCAGTAAGTGACTGGGTCACGCACTAGAAATCTTCAAATATCACCGGAGCTCACAAGGGAAGCCATCAAAATGAAACAATAGCAGAGAACGTTCTCCCTAAAGGGAAAGAAAGCTTCCAGCAGATCACTGATATCAGACCTTTTGGAAACATCATAACAACTTCCCCAATTTTGTAGTGACCTTTAGACATAAATAATGCCATAAATCATTCAGAAATCACGTCTGCTTCCTACAGAGACAATCACAAAACACAACCAAACTAATGATGCGGGGTTGAGTACTTACCTATGAAGTAAGACAACAGCACTGCCAGTATGACTGATACACCAACTGCGCACAGGGCTGTGCACTTCCAACTGCAGTACTTGGACGATTTTTTGAATTTAAAAGCACTTCTGGAGAGCGTGTTCCGAGGCAGTGGGCGTGGAGGTGGTGAGTAGACAGCACTTGAGGCCATGGTGTAACCAGGTGAGGCTGTGCTGAACAATGGCGTTGTTCCCGTCCCAGTTTTGAAGAGGAAATGCCTGGAAAGAAAGTGTGGAGAAAAAAAGAGTGAAGATATGCAAGCAAGACACAGCAACCAACAATGGGGTTCATCGATAAAGTGCACGGTGTTTTGCACAGGCGAGCTGAGTGCACAAACATGCTGATGTGCAAGGGATGGACAAGACAAATTAAGCTGGCTGAAGGGTTTGGAAATGGCATTGGGAGAAAAAAAAACACACAATCCAGGTTTACAGAAGTGTTCACTCCACAAGGCATCTCCTACACTGAATAAATGGAAATAGTTACTCAACACACATAACGTTCTTCCTTAATAAGGACAGTGTAGGAAAAGCAATACTACTTTACTAGAGACTGATTGCTTTGAGTGTAGAAAGAATCTGAAACCGTGTACTTTCCTTTGAGGCACACTTTAGTTTCAAGTAATTGTTTAACTGCTAAAGAGTTCTAAAATAATTCTGACAGACTTCAATTCAACTTTATCACTAAAATCAGTCTCCTGAAGAGAGTGATTAATATTTTTAAAAAGTATTTTGCAAGAATTATTGGCGTGTTTATTTGAATCAGTTTCCAACTATTGAATTGAGGCTTTACAGGAGAAGAGTTCAGTCCTGAGCAAAAACTTCTCAATTTGAGATTGAATAAAACATGCAACATAAAAGGGCTCGTTGTTCCTACATCAGGATTCATGTAAATGGCTCTGCACTTTCAGTACTCGGCTCTGTCTGTGTCATGTAGCATGGGTGTCCAGCTGAGATATGTGCCTTTTTAATCAGATCAGAATCAAAGGCAAGTTCAGAGATAATGCCAAGATCTCTATCATCAGCTTGGGGCAGTCAAGTGCGTCTGATGAAAGGGAGGTCAGGTTAGTCTTCTTTACACTGTGTCTCTCAGCAGTCTTAAGTGATAATCAGTAGTTGAATGTAGATATTTACCTAATCAACCTGTTCAAATATGTTATTACACACTTCTGCAGCAGGTGGGACTAGAAACTAGGCCTCCTGGCTCAGAGGTATGGACAGTGCCACTGTGTCACAAGAGCCCCCTAATAGTCAGGTATATTTGGCACAGGGGCTCAGTGGTTTGGCATGGTGGCTCAGCTGTTAGCACTGCTGCCTCACAGCGCCAGGGACCTAGGTTTGCTTCTACCCTCGGGTGACTGTCTGTGTGGAGTTTGCACGTTCTCCCTGTGTCTGCCTGGGTTTCCTCCTATTTCCTCCCACAGTCCAAAGATGTGCAGGTTAGGTGGATTGGCTGCGCTAAATTGCCTGTAGTGTCCAGGTTTGTGCAAATTAGATGGACTAGACATTGGAACTGCCGGGTTAGAGGGAAAGGGTAGGGGAATGGGTATGGGTGGGATGCTCTTCGGAGGGGCGGTGTGGACCTGTTGAGCTGAATGGCCTGTTTCCACACACTGTAAGTATTCTTTGATTTATTTGAATCAACCTATTCAGACCTGTTATGACAGACATCTGAACCCGGGCCTCCTGGGCCCGCAGCAGGCAAACCACCACTGCACCACAAGTGCCCCTTGTGGTTGCATATAGTGGAGTCCTCTTAGAACGAGTCACCAGCTAAAGCCTGCTCAGGGTTGGGCACTTTAGTGGTCAGAGAAGTCCAAACAAAGAGGCTGGCTCTCACACACACACTCTCCCTGCTTGCATCTGCTTTCCATACAAACATCTGCACTGCATTAGCATTGAAAAGCTGTGAATCCAGTCGAATTGGAATTGTTTTAACATTAGTTTATGGCACGACTTGTTCCAAAATTATGTGGGCATATAATTGACATTGTCTCAACACTAACAAAGAACACCTGAGACAAGCACCAATTCTCCAGTTGCTGCAGCCTTTGCCTCAGAAAACTTAATGTGATGGTCAAGTAAAATCATTTTTGTCTCGCAAAATGTGTTGGATGATGTAATCCACTCATGAATGTATTTCACTACCTGTTGTGGATAAACAGACAGCCCATTGGATTTAAACAAATATCTTCAAGGTTTGTCCCTTCTGCGTTCTGGTCGCGCTGAGAGCTCTCTGATTAATCTCTCAGTACCCGTGATGTGGAGGTGCCTGTATGGGACTGGGGTGGACAAACTCAGAAGTCAGATGACATCAGGTTACAGTCCAACAGCTTCATTTGGAATCACAAGCTTTCGGAGCGTCGCCCCTTCATCAGGTGATCTATGGAAGGGGAACCTCTCTATACTACCTATTCAGTAATGTCAAGTGTGAGTGTTAGGTAAGATTGAGATGGATCTTCTGCTAGAGCTCACTGCCTTTGTCTAAACATGTATGTGGAGATATTTAATGACAGCAAGGGTGTAAAATGGGTCACCTACATACAGAACAATTTCCCATTCCCTTGAAATGAACAGCAGGGCAAAACTGGCAGTGTGCAAAACAGGCAGTTCAAATACCCCATGGAAGTTGATTTTCACCTCTTTGGAAAGCTCATTCGAACGATGTGGAACTACAACCCAACGTGAGTTATAAAATCCAGTAGAGGATAGAACCCAGGGGATGTGATAAGGGGAGATTTTCATTTTCCAATGCACAGGAGGTTCTTTTGTTGAGATGTGGCAGCTGTCTAAGGTGCTGAGGACCCTTCATAGTTTAAAATGGTTCCTGTCAACTGCTGAAGCATCTTATCAGGCATTTCCAACAAGGCAGCTCATACTATGGCGAGGACATGACCTCATCAGGTCATGACTGAATCTGTCACCAAAACATCTTACACCTGAGTGTAAAGTGCAGCAAAAACCTGGAACAGTATTCAGAGTGACCAGGCTGGGGGAGGGGGCATGGATCCACTACTGCGTGACTTTGAGCAGTTTATCTTCTGACACCCTATACAGAGGATGGAAAATGCTTCCCATACTTTGCAGTTGCGAGCACAGTTCTGGTCGCTACACGAACAAATAAAAAAAAGACGAAGATGTTGTGGAGATGGTTTTTTTGTTCACACATGAGACATGGATATTGCAGGCAGGGCCAGCATTCATTGCCTGTCCCCAGTTGTCCTTGAGAAGATGGTGGTGAGCTGACCTCTTGACTGATGGAAGGCAGTTTTCCAAGATGATACCAGAACTGAGAGGTTATAATGATCAGGAAAGAGTAAGCAGGCTGGGGGCTCCTTTCTCCAGAAAGGAGACGGCTGAGAGGTCATCAGATTGCGGTTTGACAGGGCATAATATTTACCGAGGACTCAAAAACTCGGGGCCATAAACATATAGGCTTTTAAAAAGGAATTTGGTGTTGCACTGGTTAGAAAGTGGCCAGCTGAAATGAACAGCATTGATGCATTTAAAGAACTATGTTGATGAGGGAGCATGGAATAGAAGGATGTGATGAGAGGCTGAGATGAATTAAGTTGGGAACAGGCTTGCATAGAGTATGAACAACTGCATAGATCTGTTGGGTCAAATGGTCTACTTCTGTTCCATAAATTCTATTTATATGTAAAACATCTCCCTGGTGAAGTAACAACGACTCCGGAAATGAGCTGTTTCATCCTCTTGATGTGCAGGTCAATGTCAGCAATATCATCTCGCTGACGAGAATACCTGTCCAACCTCTAATAAAGAGGTCGTATCACGAACCATAAACAATTACAATACGGATGCCAGAACAGTGCCTGGGGACTGTGCAGCTCTTATTCCCATTTCTAAACTTGTAAGGCCATCAAAACAAATCTGCTTGAAAATGATTAATTTATACTTGCGCGGTTTCAACAGGCAGCTTCACGGATAGTGGCAGTGTGTGATAGATATCTCCACTCATGAGGCAGTCCAGAGCTCACTAGTTACCTCCATGCCTGTGAACATCACAGACAACTTCGCGCAAGGATATTTATGATTTTGTCCACTTTACCCAAGTGGATTCTTTCTGTACAATGTTTTCTCTGATTTCCCAGCTTCCAGAATTGTCCTCTCTGATCCTGGGCTACAAATTACAAGGACCTTAGTTACGCGGCCACTTTTTCTTCATCTTGACAAGCCAGACTGAGTACACGAGAGTCTGACCAGAAAGCCATGATGGAACCTGTTACCATCTGTTGTCTATGGATACTGAAACCCATTCTGACATATCAAGGTAAAAAGTAAAGTCACCACAGAACTATTCTCTCATTAGATAGATGGCTGGTGGCTGTTTAACCTGAGGGTCACCGTGCTTCAGGTGAACGCCAGGACTGGGAAGCTGGGACCTTCATGGTAACCTTAGCTGGCACAGGAATTGAAGCCACGCTGCTGGCACCACAAACCAGTCATCCAGTCAACTGAACTAACCAACATATCTACTATGATCACAACCAGCTAATGCATAACAAACTGGGGTGAGAGATGGGTTAAGCATACAACTTTCCTGACCCAGCCTATGAGATCGACACAGAAGTTCTGACAGATGTTATCAATCTAAGTTTAACAAAATGCGCGAATAATGGTTTAAATGACAGGGTGCAGCAATTATAAATCAGAGAAAGCAGCACAGAAGAGAACTGTGAAAAGCACTTATAACCTTCATGCAACTGCTACATGACAAAGTACATCGCACAAAGCCAAGGTTCATTTGATGCCATTTTGTAAATGAAATAATATTCAGGCAGGTCTGTCGCAAATGAAAGATAACAGGCGAAACAACAAAGAAAATATTAGCAAAGTGAAGCAATTCTCAAGTACACTTCTGTTTCTTTGAGACATTAATGCAAACAAAGACTACATTCAGGACAGGGAATTGAGAAAGTACAGACCGAAAACGATGCAAGCCGTGACACGAGCTATCAGCAAGGCAAAGATCAAATACGCTTCAGGGCAAAATCAGGTTGCAATTTTTAACAAACTGTATTCCTTTCTGAGGGATGTAAGCTGGTTTATAATCCAATTAAGTTTTACTGCAGCTTCCAACGTAATCAATCTATGTCCTTAAAATTACTTTGCCATTATAATGCTAATGTCTGGGTATTTTTAATGAGTAAGCCATCAGAGTTCCAAAATCACTCGTCTGCTAGCCAGGGAAATGGGATTTTTGGGTAAATACATGGTTCTGGCAAATGAGGAGTATTGTAAATCACCGCTGCTCGCTCCCACTCAGATCTGCAAGGCTGCTTTAACTGGTCGCATTGTGCAAACTCTGCTTCACCGTCAGGGCTACATCCTTCCTTGACTCATCCCCGAAAATTTCTGTTCCAAACTCCTTTTCTACCTCACCCGTCTCAAAAGCCTGCTCTTCGATCATGCCTACAGTCACCCCTGCCAGCGCTTCTATCTCGTTCAACAAAAGCCACTTTCATTTTTAGGGTGCCTTTAATGGAGAAAAAACATCTACTACTGTTTTGCAGGAACATGAACACAATGGGTGCTGAGTTGAAAAGGGAGGAGGAGTGACCAAAAACTTAGCTCTCTATATGCTTTACAAAGGGTCTCATTTGCTGGGGGCGGTTGAATTGAAATGAGTTTTGTAAGCTGTTTACCTGCATCTCAACTTAACAGCATTTGAAATTGTAGCATTGGGAAGACATTCCGCCCCTCAGGTCTGGTCCATCACGCAATAAGGTTGCGCCTGCTCTGATCAAAGGTTCAACTCCAGTTAGGGCCTGCCCCACCGACACCTGATAATCCCTCACTCCTTTGGAGGTCAAAAATCGAACTCATCCCTGAATATATTGAATGACTCGGTCTCCCCTACTCTTGGGATAGAAAATTCCAATAATTATTAATCCACACAGAAAAATATTCTCTCTTTTTCAAGACCCTTGTTTTTAATACCTCAAGAGCAAGAAGTAGGTTAATCAGCCAATTCAATGCTCTGCTATTCAATGCCTGATCCGATCATTCTCAACTTACTTCCCTACCTCTTCCCCATAACCCTCGATTCTCTTACTCAGTAAAACTTAAATAACAAAGCCTCATCAGCTGTCTGTGGTAAGGAATTCCTGTGATCCATCTCTGTTTTAAATGGGCAACCCCCTGTTCTGTGTTTATGCTCTCCAATTCTAGACCTTACACTGTAACCTGAGGATGGTCTCACCATCATTCCATCCAGCTGTTTTAAGACTCTCCCCTCATGTTATACTCCATACCCCTGGCAATAAAGGCTAACATTCTGTTTGTCTTTGCAATGACTCTGAATGCCTACAGTTCAGATAGAAGCCCCAATCGGCCCATTGAGTGTGCACCACATTCTGAAGAGCAGCCCACCCAGACCCACCCTTTTCCAACCCATAACCCTGAATTTCCCAGGGCTAATCCACCGAGCTGGCACTTCCGGGACACTATGGGCAACTTAGCATGGCCAATCCACCGAACCTGCATATCTTTGGACTTGCTGAACCTGCAAGCCAACTGTGCATGATCTTGCAATGCTGCCACCAATACCCCCACCCTACAACATTTAGAAATGCACCTTGAGATTTTTTTTTAAAGTTTGCACTGCTACTGAAGTACAAACGATTACTGTTAACCTTACACACAATGACATATTGAGAATTATGGCACTATTTTCTGTGAAGGTATGTCAGCAATTGACAAAGTAATCATTTGTTTGGAATAGTGGGTCAAGGAAAATAACAACATGGGTCACATGGTAATAGTTTTAGCTCTGACTGAAAGTCGGGGAGTCAAAGCATGTTTTGGGGATTTGATAGATTATCTCAGTTCAGGCCAGTCCTGAAGTGAGGGACTGCTACATTGTTCCAGTTGCTGTCCCTCACACAAAAGACCAAATTGAGATCTCTACTGATTGCTGAGGTGGACACAAAGACATAACAGTGGAAAAACAGGGGAATGCTCCATTGATGCCCTTTTCCTGGCCAATCTCAATTTCTGCTGGTGAGATTTCACGGTGTCTAAACCAGCTGTTCACACTTGCTTACGTCCAAATAATAACTGCAAGCCTCAGTGCTTTGAGCTGTGTTGTGATCACAAAAGGCACTACATTTAAGTAAGCTCTTTCTTTTCTTTCAGCTTTTCCCATTGAGAGGTACAACCAATGCTGGTGCCACAACTGGCTGACAGCAGAAGGAGAACATGGCTTGACCAACTGCTCAGTTGCCAAGCATATTGTCCATTGTGGAATGGAAACATTCAGGCTAGGAACACTGCAATACGCTCAGCGAGCTGATTTAACCTGGGATGGCAACAGGAACAGTATAATTGGCCCTCAGCATTCCCAAGATAAGGTGAGAAAATTGAGAAAAGGATTCCAAGATGATACCAGAACTGAGAGGTTATAATGATCAGGAAACAGTAAGCAGGCTGGAGGCTCCTTTCTCCAGAAAGGAGACAGCTGAGAGGTCATCAGATTGAGGTTCTGCTTCCTATCACTATTCAGAGACTTGTGTCATAGGATGAAGCTCAGTAAGGTGCAGGATTGGGTTGACTCTTACGTGGGAGATGTGAAAGAAAACGTCTCTTCAGCAAACTCAACAGCAAGCAGTTTGTAGTCCCTCGAGATGTAAAACACATTCTGGCTGGAACCTACTTGAAATTCCAGTGACATTAGGTGACTGCAAGCCCAATGTGGGCAGCTCATTAGTTGGGGTGATGTGTTACCCTGGAACCCCCGATGGGGCTGGTGGAGAGGAAGACATTTTGATCCACAAACCCTTGGTTGAAAACACAACAAGTAAACACAAGGGGCCAGATTTTCCACTTCTGAATTGGGAACAAATGCAGACAGAGTGACAACAAAAAAAATGGGGAGGTTAAGGGCCAGATGCAGATCTATTACGGCCCCTGCTGACCTTCCTGAGGATGTGGGAGGGGGGAGGTGAAGAATGTGGGGAATGGGCAGTAAAGATTGGCATTTGTCTCTTTAATTAAACATATTGAGGTCAATGGGAAGCTTGTTAAATGTGTTCAACTTGCAACTTGCTGGAAACATCACTGAGACCGTCACATAGAGATGCCCTGTGGTGCTAACTAGCTCTAACCTGAGGGTAACAGGAGTGACAACACTGCAACAGTTTCTTTTGATGGAAATACGTGCAAGTCTGGACTCAAAAAAGAAGTGACTGAGCAGCAATGAGATTTCAATGACCAATTCTTTTTCTTACCCTATCCTGGATCCCAGTGCGACATTTGACCTGACCACTTTGAAGATGAAGGCTTTTTTTTACGACATGGATGCTGGCTACAGCAATGGTGGCCAATTTGGGCCTGGCTTTACACTTTGTTTCTTGGGTGACTGACTGGTCTCTCGGGTTATTTTGACACTGACTCTATGAAAATCAAATGCCCACCCCAGCAGGTCAGCAATAGAGGCTAGGAGGGGACCCACCTCCCATTTCCCACGTCCACTGGAACAATCTGGCCAGGTGGACGAAGGAACCAGCGACCAGATTTCTGAGTTGCCCTTTCTCCTGGGAAGCTGGAAAAAAATCCCCTCATTTTCTCTCAAGCACATACTCGAAGCTCACAGACTAACATCAATATGATGTCCTTGTCACATGAACACATCATGGCCGTGCTCCTTCCAGAAGATTAAGGATTTTAAATTTTGGTGAATCAATTCCATTTGTGTTAAATCTAAATGTGAACTCAATGCGGATATTTGTATATGCTGGTGCCCAATCCAAACGGAATAGCTTCATACGGATCCAAAATCCCAGGTTTCACTTTACTTTGCAGACTAAAGAAATCATAAATAGGAAGGAAAATAAATGGTAATTAGATGCCTATGTCAGCTAATGAACAGTATAATAAGCTTAAGTGGCTTAAACAGGTTAAATTGGTATGATTGGAAACTAGCCGGTGTGAATGGGAAATGAGTTGTTGCAAGGCTGTCAGACGAGTGATTTTCCTTTGTTGCTTCATGACAAACTAATATTAGGAATTTAGATCGTTTATACTGAAGCAAAACCAGAGAATAGTTCTCTGGCCTTGAAACATCACACAAATGTCATCAACAAAAAAAACCCCATCACAAAACAGAGATTTCTGTTAAGTAGTTCCAGTTCATCAATACACAGGATTCTGTGCTGGCAGCTCACATCACTTTTTGCTTTAGTTTTTCAGAATGACATACCCGTCCCCGTAACTCCCATCGTGACATGGTGGTGTAAAAACATCCATCTCTATAAGGTTGTCATGCCCATTCTCAAGAACTGCCTGCTTTGCTAATTTTCTATGTGCAGAAATGAGATATAAAATGTTAAATGAGTCAGGGGAAGCATTGACCATCAGCATTGTAAACAGCAATCAGGGAACTACATACACATTTATAAAAGGAACATTTGAATGGGGTGCATTCTACTATTATCAGGAAGGATGCAACCTTGTGTCAATCAGTTTACAAGTAAATACAACAATCCTATTGCAATAATCTAAGAGGTTCAAGACAGCTAGTGCACTGTTTATTTTTTTAAAAATCGTCTCGTGTGAAGTCATAAAGAAAAGAAGTCTTTTCAATACACGTTTTCATTTAAGTACCTAGGGTGATGACTTGCGGTCATTATTACCACTTATCAGAGCAACCCACAACTCCACCCTGATGGAGGTGTGCCTGAGACAGTTTGGTTTTTGGAGATATTTGTTCTGTCTCACTGCTGGCCAATCAATATCCAGTTATTTATTGTTCCTGCATGGCTCCAGGAAACAAGAGATCATATTTTCAGACGAGCTGCACAACAAAGAAATGATGTTGCCAGCCAGTTTGTGATTTCTCAGACTTCCAACGAAAAGTGTCACCACAAAGCGCACGCTGTGAGTTTGCACATGTTACAAGGGGAGCCCGATAGAGATGACAATTTGACACGTTTGTTATTTCCACTCATGAGGTGGCCCTGGATGTGCTCCTGAGATAGTGTGGTTGGCTTCACTCATCAAAATAAAAGCCATAATACTACCTAATCAGATCTTAAGTGAAGGGAAAGCATGGAATAGATTTTACACTCCTCCGCAAGCGGCCTTGTTGCCTGTTTGAAATTATGTGTGTGTGTGTGTGTGTGTGCGCGCGTGCACGCGTGGGCATGCATGTGTGTGTGTGCACGTGTGTTTGTGCGCATGGGGTGGGAAATGGAAGGTCACTAGGGGTAAGGGGAAAGAGGAGGCGTTCCACTGATAGTCATTTAAGTGCGATTAGCCTTATCCTGGCACTGCTGGTACATTACCCTGAGTGGAAGGAAGTGCAGTTGTTCTAACTGTTTGGACTGCTGTCGGGCAAGTGTTCGGGACTCCCCGCAGGACCACTACACTTGTATATCACCTGCTTTTAACCTTCTTCCCTCTCCCAGTCTCTTAAATCTGGCCTCCCAGTTACGCTGCCAAGACCCCTGACCCTGAGCTTCCCAGCCCTCCTGGAGGTGGTGCAGACCCAGCTGTAACTGCTGAGCCTGCAGAAGTATTCCATTCAGACTTCCTCCTGAGATCAGGACAAAGGCTTGCCTTTAAATGATTAGCACTGCTTCCAGCATTAGTTACAGCATGGATACCATTGGGATTGTTGATGAACCTTACCTTTTAGATAGGTTTTGGCAACACAGCACGCTGCAAAATTCAGTCCCTTTTTTGAAATGTATTTTTTTTTTTACTGGAACGTGATAGAGTGTGCAGCACAGAGATAGGCTACTTGACACAATATCTCGACATCAGTGTTAATGCTCCAACCAAGCACCTTTTCACCTATCTCCAGGTCATGCTATCAGCATAAACGTCCCTTCCTTTTCCCCTTACATAGTTGTTGTAAGCTTGTCAGTAACAATAAGGAGCAATTTAAGGCTATGAACTATGTGTCAGATGGCATTAAGAGATGCCATTGTAGATAATGCTAAAAGTTGCTAGAATTTGCATGTATACAGTGCTCGTCACTTCACTGGTGAACCATATGTTCTATTTAGAGAAATACAGAGCAATTCTTAGCTGTTTACTGATGAGCACTGGGGTTACATATCAGTTAAGATTGCAGGAAGAGGAGCAGGCAATTTAAACCCCCAGATCCACACCAAGTCCCGCCTGCCATTCATTAAGATCAAGATTGCTCTGACCGCTAACTCCATATAAATTACTTATCACTATATAGCCATTGGATAACAAAAATCAATCGTAGATTTAAAATTAACAGTTGGTCTAGCAACAAATACCATTTGAATATTCAAGTCTCAAACCTTCCTTTGCATGAAACACTGTTTCCGAACATCACTTCTGAAAGATCTGGCTCTGTTAAGGCCTAGTCCAGGACTTCCCAACTTGCAAATATTGATCCTCCCTCTGTCCCCCTTACCATCTTGACAACATCAATTACATCACCCCATAATCTTTAAAATTTCAGGAAACAGAATCTGAGATTGTGCAATCTCTCTTCACAGCTTAGCTGTTGGGAGTCCAAGTATTCTCACAGACAAATGCTGGTTTAACTCCCTCCAAAATAAAGACATATCCTTCCAAATTTGCACTGCGCTGAAATGCTCACAGTACTTTGCGTATGGGCTCACCTGGGCTAAGGTATCGCTTCTACACTTTCTAGTCTAGTTGTCTAGACATAAAGGTTAACATTCCATTGGCCTTTTTGACAATTTACTCTACTTATTCATGACACGTGGGCCTTCACTGCTATCTGGATTTGCACCATTTAGAAAGTACTCTGTCATATTGCCTTTGGTTCCAACAGTGTCAAGTTTGTTGAAAGGTCTCTCATGAGGACCTTTTTCCAATGGCTTCAAGAAGTCTATAAAAAATGATATTCACAGACATTCCTTTTTCCACCACTGTAGTCAGTTCTTCAATATTGAGTAATTTCTTGTCAACAAATGTTAGGCAATATTTTACATAATTTGCCAATTTCCTTTTCTGTTCGATGTTTTCCTTCCACCTGCCACAAAACAGAACACAGCTTATCATCCCAAATTACCCCACCTCCCTGAACCCTGCACCCCTTCAGGGGAATGGGACAATTACCTGATGAGAAACAATATTGCTGGTCTACTGGGAAAGGGTGGGGTGTGGGGCCAGCTAAATGGTTCTTGCTGAGACCCATCATGGGCTATCTGGGCCAACCAGCCTCCTTCTATGTGTGTGACTATTTTCTTAATCTAGGATTCTACAAGGACTAATGTAAAAGGATTTGGAGAACCAGAAAAAGAGTGAAAAATTCAAAAAGACGCAAAGGTGGGCTCCTGAAGAAACAAGCGCAAGTTCAACTAGGGCAAAAGAGACAGCACGAAGTTTTAAAGTACTCACTAAACAATAGCTACAGATTCTAGGTTAGGAACAGTCGGATACTGCCAGAACTGAAGAATCCCAAAGTGAGAATCTGGACTGGGAAAGTGACTTGAGCAGGAATTGTCATAAAATATATAGGGAAATGATAGGAAAAATAAAGATATTAAAGTCTCTTTCAATTTAGTGCCACAGAAAATTAGTTTTAAGCTAATAGGTTTTCAATTAATTTATCACAATTAACCTATATTCTGAGAGTGCTGATATCCTGTATAGAGGTTATGATTTATTCCACTGATTCATAATTAATCTAACTTTCTACATGAGTCCAATGCTTATTACGCCTTTATTAAAGGACTTATCGACCATATTAATTTGTTTTTGCTGCTTAAAAGAAAGTCAGTACACATAAAATTTACTCAAACAATAAATTAACCACAGAGGTGTTCCCCAGAGTTGAGGTGATAAATCCCCATTGATGGTGAATATATGGACTTTCAAAGTTTGATAAAGTACCATTTCACAGACTTGTTAACAAGACTGACACCCAAGGGACGAAAGGGGCAGTGGCTGCATATGTATGAAATTTGATAAGAGACAGAAAGCAGTGAATCATGGTGAACAGTTAGTTTCAGATTGGAGGAATTTATAGTAATGTCCTTTTGGGGTCAGTATTTGGACCGGTACTGTTTTTGGGACATATTCATGAGGTACAGTTGAGTTGGCAGTGGATGATTTCAACGTGATACAAAACTCAAAAATGTAGCAAATAAGGTGGATAGTGACAGATGTCTGAAGCACTTAGAAAAACCAATGAAATCCACAAGACACATGGCTGGTGAAACTTCATGCTGCAAGTTCTGTTGTCATGTATTGTGGTCAGAAGATGGACAAGTGGCATTATAAACAAAAGGCACAATAATAAAGTGGTGTAAAGAGTCCCGAACTACTCCTGAACTTAGTGATTTGTTCAGTCATTTCCAGAACAGGTAAGAGTCAACTGCTTTGCTATGGATTTGAGGTCACATGTAGATGTTAGATTTCCTTACCGAAAGGGAATGAGTGAATCAGACAGGCTTTTACCTTATCAGTGATTGTTTCATAGGCATTGTTATAGATGCGAGCTTTTTAATTCTGGGTTTTATTAATTGAATTTAAACTTCTCCAGCTGTCGTGGATGGATTTGAATGCCTGTGTTGGGACGTTTGTAACTTCAAATGATTGTTTTTTGAATACCAGAGCAGCTCCCTTCTTCACTGTCTCTTTTCTGCTGTCCCTTCCCGTCTCCTTGCCTCCCTCAGGCTCTGTCTCACTCCTCTCCCTGTACTTCCCTCCCTTCACGTCTAACTCCTTCCCTCCCTCCCTGTCTCACTGCCTCCCTCCTTCCCTCCCTCCTTGTCTCACTGCCTTCCTCCTTCCCTCCCTCCTTGTCTCACTGCCTCCCTCCCTGTCTCACTGCGTCCTTCCCTCCCTTCGAGTCTCACTCCTTCCCTCCTTCCCTGTCACACTGCCTCCCTCCTTCCCTGTCTCACTGCCTCCCTCTGTCCCTTCCACTCCCCCACTGTCTTGCTGCCTTCTTCCCCACCCGTCTCACTGCCTGCCTCCTTCCCTCCCTCTCTGTCTCACTGCCTCCCTCTCACTTTCTTCCCTGTCTCACTGCCTCCATCCCCATCTCACTGCATCCCTCCCTACCTCACCGTCTCACTGCTTCTCTCCCTCCCTCACTGTCTCACTGCCTCGCTTCTTCCCTCTCTGTCTCACTGCCTCCCTCCCTCTTGCCCTGACGGTTATCATCACTGTCGTCATGCTTTCGGGAAAAGCAGAAAGGAAGATATGATCAGGAGTAGGTCATTCAGCAACTTGACCCTGTTCTGCCATTCAAAGGGTCATGACAGTACCTATAACAAAAATCCATCATTCTCATCTTTGACCTTCCCAGCCCCTATGGCTTATGACAGTGAGAGTTCCAGT